TTTATAAAAAGGAAAACGCAAAATACTTTCTGTTTGATATCAGTTTGTACATCTCTGAGAGTGCCTCCTTCTACAAAAGGTGAAGTTTTGTTGATAGACTATCGCTGCAGTTCAAAAAGTAGATATCACTGATACAGTCCTTTAAACGTCTCTGAGCCCTGACTGTTCTCCCTGCCTCGGTCCATAGACTGTGAATGAAGAACCTCCTTTGTGCAGGTGGATAAAGGAGGCCGAAGCAGGAAAGGGAAAAGGAAATGAACACTGTTTTTCGTCAAACTCTGTCTACACCTTGTTTGTTTAGGAGGTCAAGCTTTTAAATTAGTATGATAAAGACTAGAACTGCCTTTTGGTATTGCTTTCAAAAAGATAAAAGTAAATAATAAAAAATTAAAATAATCTCTGCGGCTACAAAATATACACTTCAGTAACATTGATTATAATGGTCAGGTCCGCTAAAAAGATTACATTTATACAATGGTCCTCTCCTTATCTCTCCAGCCTCCTGCGTAGCACATCAGTTGCTCTCTCACTAATTCATTTTGACCCGCACTGGTCCTCTCTCTGCTTCCGGAACTGAGCTGAGCAACCTCCCGTTTGGGGGCTGTGCGTTACTGGTGTGTTCTGCTGAGCTGCTCCTCTCTTAGGCCTTATGTCCAACTCATTCCTAGACTTTGTCTCAGCTTAAATATTACAGGTTTTTTTCACCCAGTTAGATACTGCATGTTCCCTCCACTGTTGCTCTGAGTGTCCAACGATTTTTTGTTTCATTTATAACACTAATTATAACTTGTATTTTTTTATTTGCTTTTTGTACTTAGATTTTGTAGCTTCTTTCATTAGGAAGAATGTAGTCTCCATGAAGCCAAAGACCATGCCTATTTTTCATTCACTCGATGATTGGGTCCCATTAATACTTAATTTGTGCCTGCTATGTGTCAGGCACTATGCAGTTGGGCACACAACAAATATTTGCTCAATAAATAACAGCATCTGTTTCAAAGAAACGTCCCCCTTTAAAAGTTTCTGTACAGACAGACGCGCCACGGCTTCAGGGCTTCCGTAGCGAGGCTTCCCCCAGTGCGTGTGAGCTGCACCAGCCCTGCCCCAGGAGGCTGCTGCAGCTGGCTGGTGCCTGCTCCACTGTAACCATGAGCTACCAAACGGCGCTCCTAGAAAATGCCGGTGTGTCTGAGGAGATGTGACAGGAGTCCGTGGACTGTGTTACTCAGGCGTTGGAGAGACATAACACAGAGAAGGGTATTGCAGCCCACATTAAGAAGGACTTTGACGAGAAGTACAACCCAGCTGGCCCTGCACCGTGGGGAGGAACTTCGGTAGTTAGGTGACACAGGAAACCAAACACCTCACCTGCTTCTGCCTGGGCCAAGTGGCCATTCTTCTGTTCCAATCTGGTTGGAGGTGGACTGTATCTCAGCCCCAGTGACCCATTCAAATAAGGACTGCAGCCTCAATCCCAAAGACCAGCGACTGAATCTTCAGTCTCGTCTAAAGGAACACCTTGATCTTCAACCTTTATCATGTTGATCTGTACAGGGCATTCTCTGTACTCATTGCTGTGGTTATAAGACAATTAGCAAACCAGCTTACATTTGTGTTTATTTTCTATTCCATACCTTTCTGTTCCATGTTTTTGCTTCTCAAAATCCATTTCATTCCCCCCCAAATAAATCTGTTGGAGAAAAAAAATTTCTACATATAAACTGAGAAGCAAATAATAGATGTTCGCACTCTTGAATTTATCCAAAGTAGATAATTTCATATGAATCTCAATGAGAAAGAAATTTTATAGCTAAACATTTTAAGAAAAAAGTATGTGTGGAAAAACAAGAACATTCGCTGAACTAATGATTTATATATGTGGACCACATATCACAGAACCAGAAAGAGTTTAGCATAAAACCAAAACAATCCAGCATACAGCATTAGTTTAAAGAATGGCGAGTTGAAAGTTCATGAATGATAAATAACCCAGCCCTCACTCAGGGTCTAAATTACAGGAAGGGTTTGACCTTAACATTTGATCATAGTGACCTTTCCTTACAATTGGGTTGAGTGAGTCTGATCTGACGGAGGATAACAATGGCAGTTAAAGATTGTGTTTGCGGTCCCCGGGCCTGAAATATTTTCAGTACATCCACCTACTCTGGCCTTCAAAACTTTGAAAGTCAGTCTTGGGCACTCACCTCATTATCACTATATAGTTCAAGCAGCTCAGAAATTCTGGGAGACCTGATTATGGGGATGAGCCATCACCCAAATTGTTCCCGTTATCTGATTCTTATTTTTGCTGTAGCTAAGCACTTAACTGTTTTTGCTGGATTCTTAATTTAACACGATACAGATATTGATTCCGTATCATAGGACTAGAGTAACACGGGACCAGGACACGCACAAGTGCAAGGAAGTGTACAAATATATTTAGTGAAAACATCTATTATATAACAGGCAAGCTGGGTACCAAAAATAGGCACCTATGTAACTTATCTCTAGAGAAAAAAGAGTTCGAAGAAGCCAGGAACTATGAAGATGACAGAAAAATGTCTTTGTCCAGGCAAAAGGCTGGGAAGTTATGATCTGCTTTCTGAGGCTGTTACCAATTCAGTTCACTTCTCGTCTGGTGTGATCACTGGTTCTGATGTTGATGGTTAAGCTACCATCTCTTTCCCCTTCCCCTACAGTATGCAACTTCAGTAATAAAACTTTTAATGTTGCCTATTTCAAATGAATTAATATGCTCCTACTAAAATCGTGAAACCACATAGTCAGGCTTCTTACTCATCATCTGTCCATCCTAGGCAGTGACCACTGAGGGTTCTGTGCATGTACTTAACATCAGGCATGTATGTGCAATCAGGTAGCCTCTGACCCAGTAATTGCCAGGGTCAGAGAAGAACGCTTACATACTGATGGGCACGCCAGCTGGGCCCAGCCTCTGCTGTGATGGCCACTGACCGGCACCGCTGAGTTTGTGCAGGTCCCGAAGCCAGGCTGCCAACGTTCAGGTCCCAGCTCATCCAGCTACTAGGTGTTAAAACTTTGGGCAAAATATATATGTTCCCCATTATTTAGGTGGCATGCCTGAGAAACAGGGATAACTTCATAGGGTGGTTGTGGGGATTAAATACTTAACACAGGAACAGTGCTTGTCACTTGGAAATACACCATAAATGTCACTTTTTATTTTATATATTTCACTTTCAATTGGATCTCGTTGCTACCTTTACTTGTTTCTTGCACAATGTTCTGCCGCAGACCAGCCGCAGCAGGGTTCAGGGGTTCCTGAAAGGTGAGTAAGGCGTCAGGGATGGGTAACAGACGACAACACGCCTCAAAGGACAGTGAAGTTCAGTTCCATTTATTGCAAGTACAAGCAGGTTTTTATATTTTCATTTTTGGTACTGATTAACATTTGCAGGTGCCTGGCATGATCAGTTAAGCAGAAAAAATCAATACAAAGGTAACCAGGAAAAGTACGAAAGTTCCCATAGATTCAGTTATATTAAAAAAAGATTGTTTTGACCAGAAGAGCCATAAATCAGACAATTAGAAGTAGCTGTATGTACAGAGCTTGAATGTCTTAATGTTTATTAAAGTTTCTCGGAATTTATCATGGGGCAAAAGGATATGCTAGATTGAGTAGAGGTAATAGGAAATTTATGATAAGGCCTTTGTGATGTCTAACTTAGCTATCTATCCTTTTCTAAAATGTTTCTCTGTGTACTATAAACTCTGATCCCCTACTAACTGTTTTTACGTGCTTAATAGCTAACCAGCTTCTCTTATTTCTTTGGCTGTCTAATTGATATATATTCCTATTCAAGGTAAAGGAGGGGCCATTACTCCAACAACTTTTAGACATACAGGGACTTTGTTCTCTGGTCAAGAAATTATTCTGTACAACTTCATTGGAATTATGCTAATCAATGAACCTGAAATACAGGTGTCAAACAATCCCACCACCTTTCAATCACCCAAACAAACATGTAAGGAGAGATACACAGGAAATCCAGCCACAGTTGCCTCTGTCTTGCAGATGCATCTCAACTGTCCTGACCTTGTCAAGGGACAGTTGCTGGCCGGCTCCCGACAATGTTCTGTTTAATGCTAAATTCTTTGTCTTCACCATAGTAAATCCGCTTTAGGAGAAAATTACCCCCATTGGGGCATCGACATGTTCCGGGATGATCATTTCTACTTTCTAAATGTCTTTATTCTCCTACATTTACTGTTTAGTTTCATGTCATGATCTGTTTCTTATCATACTTAGCTAATGAGAACAACTCTTCAACCATGTTCTCCATACCCAGGAACGTATGGAGAGAAAAGTATTTTTATATTCTTTAACTTTATGTTATGGAAAAAATTTTAACAGCACATGGTATAGAGACAATAGTTTATTGAATGGCTCCGTGCCCATCACCCAGCTTTAACAAACACCAATTCTCTCATCCAGATGAGTTTGAAATCCTAGATATCGTACGATTTCTTCTATGGACCTTCAGTGTAAATCTCTCATGGCAAATGCATTTTTATAACCCAGTCTCTATGTCAACAATCTTTTCTTGGTATCATCGACTATTTTATCAGTGTTCACATTTCTCTGATGATTTACATTTTTATAGCAGATTAAATAAGAGCTCACTAACGTGACTGGTTGATGCGCCCTGACCTTGTTGTTGTGACTGCTGTTTATTTTACATTGCTGAGTAAACTCAGTCGTTTGTCCTTAGAGTTTTTCTAAGGTCCCGTGTTGCTGATGGCACTTTCGTATTGTTGTTGGATATATTGTTCTCCTGTTTTTTCCTATTTCTTGTATATTGATTGATAGTGAGAGAGATACTTGATAACAGATTGTGTTTATTTTGGGGAATAAAGCGCTACGATTTTATAGGAAGGATTGTGTACTGGGATGCAGATATATTTAACATCTAGTGCCTGACTTTTATAATTTAAGCAGCAATTGATCATTAACTATATCAATTAACTCATTACACATGGCAAAATGGTGATATTTTAATTTAAACATTCTCTTTTCATTTACTGATCAAAATAATATTTGCTAACTTTACCCCATCGACGATTAGGTTAATCTATGCTACAGTTTATACAGAAAACTGTTTGCTGGAGAAATACTTGATTCTTTTCTTTACTAGTTTTTAAACTAGTGAGTAACCTCAATAGGGGAGGAGATTCTAGTTTCATAAAACGAAATAAAAAGTAATTTTAGCCTTACAGAAAAAGTTGCAAGAATGGTGTAAAGAATTAGTGGAGAGTTTTAACCCAGATCCCTCAAATGTGAACTGAACAGAATTAAACAGGCCAGGAAGACTATTCAAAGACTGCCACAAGGGAGAGATATTGGATTCAACTCCGGAAAAGCCAGGTGGGAGAGTTTTTAAGAAGAGCTGGGGTGAGCCAATGAAAAAGTGCTTGGAACACTAGGAGAAGGTTGGGCAATGTGAGGAGGCTGTTCAAGACCACCCGAGAAATCAACTTGCTCCGTACATTTTCACAACGGGTTTTACACTTGAGCACTATTCAGAACTCCAACTTATCGTAAAACACGGTGACTCTGAGACAACTACTTAGACCCACCTGCGTGAATGTGCTGCAAAGAACTTGGCTTTAAAATCTCAGAAGTGAAGTTTAACTTCTTTCCATTGTCTCTTAGATAGGATCTTCATCGAAACAAAGCATAAACAATTAGCAGTTATTTCGGTTTCGCTTATCAAAGGCTTCAGCGTTAAAATTCTGATGGCGACGAGCTGGAGGCTGTTTCTCCCAGTCTCGTGTGCTTCCACGGCTTGTCCACAGTCTGACACAGCAGCACCTTTCTTTGTTTATTCCACGGGACTTGGTCCAAAGGTACATACGATGAGTAAGAATGTGTGCTTTACAGTTGTCCCTATTTTACTATTGCAGAAACAACCTACTAGTAACAGAAGGTTTATATACTCTACCAGACTCTTTCCACTCCGCAGTGTCTAGTTTACTGTATACTTTTCTTCTCTAAATATTTTATTTTGCAGATGGTCACTCTAAATAAAAAAGTAGCAATTTGCAGGGGTTAGGTTTTTTTAAAAGAATGTTTGATTTATTTATTTTTAGAGGGGGGAAGGGAGGGAGACAGAGAGGGAGAGAAACATCAGTAGGGCCTGGCCTGCAATCCAGGCATGTGCCCTGACCAGGAATCAATTGGGCAACCCTTTGATTTGCAGGCCCCTGCTCAATCCACTGAACTACACCAGCCAGGGGGCGGGGTTTGGTGTGTATCTCCCTGAAATTTTTGAAAATGAGGTTACATAAAATGTCAGCACACACATGCAAATTTGCCAGTAACAGGTGGGAGGTACCCCTGTGGGTAGAGAGGAAACTGTTCCAAGTAGCCCACGTGCTGTAAGATTCAGGAGCCTTGTTGTCAACAGACTCTGAAGAGAAATAAAAACTCTGTTATTTCATAGCTCACTGCTTTGTTTCTGAGATGCCAATATTCCCTTTATTTCAGAGAATATACATTTAGCGTATAAGATCTTTTCTGAACATATATGAAGGGAAGGTAGCCAACTACCTTTTTATAGACTATGGGGTCCCTAGAAAAGTAAGTTATTATCCACTGTTACCCCCACGCATTTTATTTTAAAAGAATATTTAACAGGTAGTTAGCACCCATTTCTAGTTCTATTTCTTTAAATAATGTGACTCTATCCTGTTTTTAACTTTATTTTTAAATATACTTTTACTTATTCTTTCTGAAAGCATTCACTGGTGATCTGTATGTACAGGTTCAATTTGAAACATAATACGAAGACAGCAGTTCAGCTGGGGAAAGACATTCAGATGGGCTTTGTTGAGAATTATTCCAACTGGAGTCCAGCCTCCGTGGGGAGGGATGCTGTGTTTGTGAGGAGTGCCTTCCAAAAGCCCCATAAGGGAAGTGTCTGCATACACGCCACGAATCTGCCACCACTCATACACTTTGAAGCCTTTATTGAAGGGAATAACAGAATGTGGATGCAGCGAAAAAGGAAAACAGTCGAGCGGCAACAACCCCATAGTAAAGGAGAACTAAACAAAAAAGAAGACCTGTGTTCTTTACACTTGCTAGAGTCTAATAGCATCGCTTCAGTAGCTACAGTGAAATTGGATTCTGAAAAGTTTTTTAATCATTTGTTTCTTCTCTGAAAGATACATCCAGGAGAGAAAAATGTCGACCTGCTGGTATAAGCAGCCCTGACTGTTTCCAAAGAAGCAATATTCATACAACTTGGTTCGATGTGACATGTTGTTCTGGGGTCAGCATAGCGTTGTGGTTAAGTTCATGGTCTCTAGAGAAAGTCTGTCTTGGCTTAAATCTTGGTGCTAATTCTTACTAGCTATTCAACCTTTGAAACATTTCTCATCCTCTCTGGGCCTTGGCTTCTTCATTATTACTATAGCAATAATGGTAGCACTGTCTTGTAGGATATTGGGACAGTACCTGCTTTAATACATGTAATCACTGAAGTGCTGGTGCCAGAAATATCAGAAGCAAGCAATAAACAGTAACCACATCTCAGGTGCCGATCGTGACTAGATTCCCTCTAGTTTGTATGTCCTGCACGATTTCCTCCCCTATTTATTTACCCAGGTCTGAAGTTTTTACGGATCATATATTTACATCTGTATGTAAATATATTTAAAATTAAAAAATGACACAATCCTTTGAAGTCCCTATCTTGATATTTTCTGTTTCATTAAGAGATCTCCAATGATAATAAGTTGAGTTTTACGTGATCGAATGAACACAAGATGTTAAAAAGTCTCTATCTGTAATTATCTCCTGTAGAGAAAATAGAAGAATGAATAGCATGCCATGCACTTCCAGTTCTTCCTTGCTATTTGTCCTGCTCGATAAGACTGGAACTCAGTGCTTCAGAAGCATTTTCTTGCTGCCAAGATTATAGTTTCAGCAGAGATAATATATCAGTTTTCTTTAAAGAAGGAGAAGTTACCTTGAAAAACAAAAAATATCATATGATTTAGCTTATATGTGGAATCTAAAAAAACCTAAACAAACAAACAAACAAAAAAAACCCTAAACAGACTCAGAATGCAGACAAGAGCTGAACGGTTGCCAGGCAGAGGAAGGTGGGAGGATGGGTGAAAAAAGGGAAGGGGAATAAGAGGTGTACATTTCTGCCTATAAAATAGATAAGCCATGGGGATGTAATGTCTAGCACTGGAGATATAGTCAATAATATTGCAATAACTTGGTATGGTGACAGATGGTTACTAACATTATGGTGATCACATCACAAGGTATATAAATGTGGGATCGTTCTGTTGTACACTGGAAACTCATGTAATATCGTATGTGAACTCTAATAAAATATGTTTTGAAAAGTACATGCATGAAGATAACCTATCACCCATGGTTACTCAGTGTATTATAGTTTTTAAATTATTTTTCATTATCTTCCATAACTTTAAGCGAAGTTCTGATACATGAAAAATTTTCTGCTAAATACACCGTAGTTATGCAACTTTGATCTCATATCTATTAGTTGTATATATACATCTAGATTTCAATAGCTTCAATGTGACACAAGATTCCCATTGTAATTCAATACATACCTCTGTTCTACTGTAGCATTTTTTAATGTGCAGTCTCATTTTGCAGATTGCTTTCCTCTGCCTTTAGCAGTCTTTCTAGATACTTAACTGAAAGTCATAAAATTTGCAAATGAAAATACATTTTATGATTGTTCTCTCTTTTAGAAATTTGACACTACAAATAAAATTGAAATCTAAAATTTCTTACATACAGTTTATTCATTACTTTTATTATTAACTGAGGAATACATGATAAATTTTCATTTGAATGTAACTGATATTAAACTTTTACTGATGATGGATGGATGTTTATGAATTAATAACTGTTGCTTTAATAATTTCAAGTTTTCATGTTTGATTGATGCCATTCTAAGCAATTATAGACATGGAAAAGTCCGGACATCATGACCTAAGTTATCTTTGAAGCAAACAGTTTTAACATAGCACAGGTTTAATCAATCACAAAGTATTAGTTCTATCACTGCAATGCTTCATACATCTGTTCCCTTCTTCGCAATGCCACAAAAGTTCCCCTTTTCAGACTTTATTATTTTTATATTGAGCTATTATAATATTCTACAGGTTGACTGTTTCTAGTTCTTACTTGTTAACATTTTCCTCAAAATGCCTCTAGAGTGAATACCTCCAATGCACGGCTTGAATAATGCCACCCTTTGGTCACCAGCAGAGACTATCAATTGTTTACAGGCTGAAATTCAAACTCACTAAAATTAAAAGATTACAAAATTATAACACTTTTCTTAATGGCTCTGAGTATAACTATCTTCAAATATGAAACCGTTAATCCATGTTGGTTCACACGGATGCATCACTTTATTTTGAAGGACCTGGGACTCCAGATGGCACAATTAAAGAGTGAATGGAATGTTTCTAGCTTGAATTTATTTTAACCTGAATGATCTGTGGTTACTTCCAGGGGATTTTGGAGACTCCACAGATTGTGGAGAAGAATCTGTCAGCACATTTGCTTTAATCAAGATCTGATCCCAGTCCGGTTACAAAGTCATGTAATTTGTTACTGGACAAAGGATTTCAATTTGGTCAAGTGCAGAGCTCTCACTGTGCCCTGTGTTCTCCAGACTAGATGACTCTAAGTGCATTGCTGGACTCATGGGAGTACATGAAAAAAATATTCCTGCATCATTCCCTCACCAGACCAATTACAGTAGTAAAGTTGAGAATTTTTCTTATGGTAATTCAATGAAACCAAAATAAATCTATCACTAACTTTCCATCCCCTCAAACTTGCAGTCTTCAAAAAAACTTGCAGTTTATTTGTTCCATAAACTGGATTATTTCATATTTTAAACATATTCTCCTATAATGGACACTGCTGGTCCCTGATTTGATGTTCGCTGAATATGGACTTACAACTTTTCTATCTCATGGAGAATGTATGTATCACATGCCATTGAGTTGGCCCTGATCCCTTGCAACCCTATGAAAGAGCTGCCCACAGTGTTCTGTCCTGAAAATGAGGAGCCAAATAATCAAGCTAAATCCTAAGGCATCATTGGATAAGCAAACCATGCTCGACTAAAATTATTACCCCCAAATATTCTTGTTTGTTTACAGAATTCCCCTCCTTTTCTGTCACTTTTTCTTTTCATCCCTAGTTCACTTATTATATGGCCTTAATATCCAGGGAGATCTTCCACATAAGATTAGCTTATCTGACACAGGGAAATACTTCTGTTGGTCTAAAACTGCTTCTCTTTCTCTCCTGCTTATCAAGACAAAGTTTATTGTCTTGCATTAGATGGGTTGTAATGCGGAGATAGAGAAGTGTAATAATTCACTGAGTTGAGATAATCAGGGACAGGTACCACAGGTCACTCCTAGATTCATTTCACAGGACATCAAGTGCCAAGGAAGAAAACAGTATTAAAGTATCTGATTTTGTTCTTGATGTTGTTAAGAAGCAGGGTTGAGAAAATAGTCTGTTTGGGAACAAATGTCGTGTGCTAAGTACTTTTTAAACTAAGAAGAAATGTCAATAACAGGATTAAAACATGGACCTAGATATTAGATGTTAATATATAACTCTCTGGTTTATAATAAAACTCTGTTAACTTTCTTTCTAGCTTTCTTATTAAAGTTCTTTTTATTTTGATTATTTTTTTAGTATATTATCTTGAAATATCTGGATAAGAAAGCACACTATCTGTGGACAATTTCAGCATTTAATTTTTGATATTTATGCTATAATTAAATAGATTTTCTTCCACTATTGCTTCTCTTTGACTAGGTCATACAAAGAAATATTGAGTAATATTAATCATCCTTGTCTTCCTCATTATATTGAAAATGATTCTAATTATTCACTGTAAGAAATGATATTTGCTGAAAGCTGTCATGAATACTCTTAATCAAGTTCAATGTTTTCTTAACAAATTTGAAGTATATTTTGGAATATACTTTGCCATATTGATTATGTATTGAGTATGATACTACCGTTGTCTATTTTTTTCTCCCTGTTTTCCCCCTCTGCTTGGTTTCCTCATTCCCTCCAGCATTCTGCATCCCTCCACCCCAGTTCATGTCCATGGGTCATACACAGAAGTTCTTGGGTTTCTCCATTTTCTGTAATATTCTTACCCTTCCCCTGTCTATTTTTACCTACCAATTGTGCTTCTTATTCCCTGTAACATTTCCCCCATTCTCCCCCATCCTCCCTCCCACTGATAACCTTCCAAGTGATCTCCATTTCTGTGATTTTAGTTGTTTGCTTAATTTGTTTTTGTTTTTTAGGTTTGGTCATTGTTATTTGTGAGTTGGTTGTCATTTTACTGTTCACTGTTTTGATCTACTTTTTCTTGGATAAGTCCTTTTAACATTTCATATAATAAGGTCTTGGTGATGATGAACTCCTTTAACTTGACCTTATCTGGAAAGTACTTTATCTGCCCTTTCATTCTAAATAATAGCTTCGCTGGATAGAGTAATCTTGGATGTAGATCCTTGCTTTTCATGCCTTTGCATACTTCTTTCTGGTCCCTTCTTTCCTGTAAGGTTTGTTTAGAGAAGTCAGCTAACAGTCTTATGGGCACTCTTTTGTAGGTAACTGTCTCTTTTTCTCTTGCTGCTTTTAAGATTCTCTCCTTATCTTTAATCTTGGGTAATGCAATTATGATGTGTCTTGGTGTATTCCTCTTTGGGTCCAACTTCTTTGGGACTCTCTGAGCTTCCTGGTCTTGCATTTCTATTTCCTTCACCAGATGAAGGAAGTTTTCCTTCATTATTTGTTCAAATTAAGTTTCCAATTTCTTGTTCTTCCTACTCTTTCTGGAACCGCTATGATTCAGATGTTGGCATGTTTAAAGTTGTCCTGGAGGTTCCTAAGCCTCTCCTCATTTTTTTGGAATTCTTATTTCTTCATTCTGTTCTGGTTGGATGTTTACTTCTTCCTTCTGTTCTGAATCATTGATTTGAGTCCTAGTTTATTTCCCTTCACTGTTGGTTCCCTGTATATTTTAATTTCATTTTCCATAGCCTTCACTTCTTCCTCTAGTTTGCATCCATACTCAGTCATTTTTGCGAGCAACTTGATCACCAGTGTTTTGAACTCTGCATCTGAAAGGTTGGCCATCTCTTCATCACTTAGTTCTACTTTTGGAATTTTGTTCTGTTCTTTCATTTGGGACATATTTTTGTCTTGGCATACCTGTTTCATTATAAGGGGCAGAGCCTTAGGTATTTGCCAGGGTGGGTCAACCCTCTTTGCTGTGCTATGGTGCTGTATGTGGAGGAGGGATCAGAGAGGGAACAGTGCTCCTTGTTCAGCTCTTGTCCCACTTTCAGTCACTTCCCCCACTTCCCACAAGTGAGTTGCACCCTTCCTGGCACTACCCTGGTACTGATTCCTTGGTGGGTGGGCTTGTGTATGTTCTAGGATCTTGTGGGCCCCTAGAGTAAACTCTGCTATGAGACTGGCAGTTTCTCCCACCAGACAACTCCCCCAGATTTTAACAGCCAGAGGTTTTGAGGCTTTATTCCCAGTGCTGGAACCCTGGATTACGTAATCTGTCTTGCTGCCCAGTTGTTCCTTCCAGTTTATCCACATGAGAATGTGGGACCACTCAGTCTGCCAACCAACATTTCACCTGTCTGGCCCACCAGCCATTGCCTGGCCACACGTTCTCTCTGCTCCAACTGCTGTCTCCATTCCTTTGACCACTTTGGATGAATATTTCTTCTTTAACTCCTTGGTTGTCAGACTTGCATGCAGTTTGACTTTCTGGCCCTTCTGGTTGTTTTTTGTTTTTAAATTGATTGTTATCTTTCTTTTGTTTGTGTGAAGAAGTGAAGCATATCTAACTATGCCTCCATCTTGGCTGGAAGTTAAATGTTTTCTTTTACTTGTTATTTATTTTTCCCTTCTATAATATATTGACAAATCTCTTGATAAATGTCCAAACTCCTTTGTGATTTTAACCAGTTTGGTCATCATGTAGCATTCTTTTAGTACAGAAGTGCATTATGTTACCTCTTTTATGAAGTACTTTTGCTTAATGTTTGTTAGGCATATTGTCTTTAAATGTTTTCCTTTATATGGAGATAATTTGTTAAAATGCTATTCTCATCTTACTGATTTTGATGAGAATCTTCCATCTTTTGCTCACTACTAACAGTTTATCTAGGGGTCAATTTTTGTTATGAAGCCATTTTAAAGTTCATCCTTAAAAAATGATCAGTCATGTATCTATTTGGGTACACATTACTGATTAATTTTTCTATAGAATATAATTATTTTATTCAATTTCTCTACATTGTTTTGAGCCTCTCTTTATCATCATATGTATCTTTGCAGGAAATTATATGTTTAAAAAAGTTTTTAATTTATCAGACATTTTATATTAAAATTATTATTATTAAAATTCTATATTCTGAAATAATTCATTTTAAGATTATAATTGCTTTAGATCTAATTATGCCTTTTGCATGAATTTATACTCTGTGTTTTGAGTATTTGTTTTTTCTGCTTTATGAAACTTATCTTACTTTGTATATTTGAAGAAATTTTTTCCATTTCTGATTTGCTAACATTATTAAGTATTTTATAGACTGATTCTTTTAAAGGCTATCTATTTTTAAATAATATTAAGACATATTGAGTTCAATCCAGGTCAAACATTCTGATCGCTGGGTTTCGCTTTTTGATGAATGCATGTCCACCATCTCTCCACCTTTTCTTTCCTCCGTTAAACTCTCCTTCTAAAATTATTTGACTTGATCCCCTAACAGTTAATTTTTCATTGTTCCACTGATAAATTCTATAAATATTTTCATGTTTTATTACATCTCAGATTCGTGAATATAATGTCAATAACAATATGATAAAATAAACAATGCTGGTATTATTTCTCATTTTTTATCAAAACACTTAGCTATCCACCGATTTCTTCACCAAGATCACATGGGCCAATGCTATTATTGAAAATTCAAAAATTGAATAGATTAGATGATTCTTATGTAATTAAGATACCAAATGAGGAAAAAATACCACAAAAAATCTTTAGGATAAATTTGAAAGGTGCTTAAAAATTATATTCTAGTAATTTGAAACAAATTAAGTAGCTCTGAAACGTACTTACCTTTAGCTATCATAATTGCAGCTACGACCAGAACAATTAAATAAAGGCAGGCAAATACCACTGCAGCGAGGGCCCAGGAAGACTCTGTCCGGAGAGAGAAGCAGGGTACCAATGTGAGCAGTGGAAATAAGGCACAGAAGCTGGGATTAGAAAAACTGTGGGCAGAAATATTTAATCCACTTGAACTAGACTGAAATCTGAGCTTATGGGAGCAACACATTGTGGAAAAATATCCCAGCTTGTGAGGGGAACTCTAACAATTATTTTGCAGATTTGGCTACAGCCACGGAAGATGTACTGTTTTTTTTTAATCTTTGGATAGCTTGTTTGTGAACTAACAAATGGTACCAATAAAGAAATATTTCAAATACTACAAAAGAGCACTTCAAAAAATTCTATCATGAATTTAATATATCACCCTCTCCAAATTTTTAATAAAGTGATTTCATCCATCTTGTTGCAGAATTATGTAAAAGTAAAACACTTATAGTAGTAATTGGCCCAAACAAATATTCTGTGACAGTTTTGATATAAATCCATTCACCATGAAATACCTCAAAGTTTCATGCTGTTTTAGAGATACGGAGGCATTAAATAGACACACCTTTTGTTAAGTCTAAAATACCAAGCTGGGAAGTTACATGTGGACCATTTTTGGTTCTGTGGCTATTATGGCCCATCAGTCTAAGCCACCGTGGGGCTCAGTGGTTCATTGTTCACCCTCATTTGTCCTTCACACAGCACTTCAGATCAGTAAGACAATTAAATTCCGAATTAGTATGACAATTAAATACTATGGCTACAAAGGATGACTTTTGACTCAGAGGTTAGTCTAGGAATATTTTTTATTATGGTTAATTTATTAAATGTTCAAACAAACAAACAAAAAGGGATCTACCCCTGACTGGTGTGTTTCTGGTTTGAGTCCGGGTCAGGGAGCATGTCCCGGTTGTGGCCCCTTCCCTGGTCAGGGTGAGTGCGAGAGGCAACCAGTCCAGAGGCAACTGGTGGGTGTTTCTCTCCCTCTCTTTCTCCCTCCCTTCACCTCTTTCTAAAAATAAATAAAACTTTAGAAAAAAAGAAATTTGAAGTTTTAAATGTATTTTTACCTTTTATCTTCAAATTCCTAGTCACATTTTCTTTCTGAATATTGGAAGTATTATGAATTCTGAGATCTGAGTATGTCACACTTTCCTCACAAAACTCTAGAAAATATATAATAAAATATATTCAATAGCCATAATTAATATATACACACATATATGTATATAATTAAAATCACATTAGGAATAAAAATTATTCCATTTTATGCTTATAGAATTTTAATATTGAGTCAATCATGTCATTACTTTGTAAAATGTAGCGGCTTTTTAAAAACCATTCTTAGTTTCTCCATCTATAAAATAGGGATAACAACTGTATTCATTCATAGATGAATTGTGAAGGTTAAGTTATTGTCTATAAAGTCAATAGCATAGTGCTTAAAACAATAATTATGTAATGTTATTTTTGTAACACTGCAGTGTGGAATAGAAATTGTAAAAAACATAGTGGCCGATAGCATCAGAAGCAACAATGATTGCAGAAGCAAGAGTGGAAATATAAAAATTATTTTAAATGCTTATCTTTGTTTCCTCGATAACTGAATTTAATCTCAATTCAAGGAGCATGAGAAGAAAAGAACCTAATTCTTATTAGGTAGATAAATTCTCTTGGCAACATATTGCATATATTTCTTCAGTGAAAGGGAAGCAGAAGTCATAGCAACAAAGCAATAACATGTTTCCAAAAAATGTGAAACTGAAGCCCATTTGTAAATATTTATGCACCAAAAAAATGCTCTGAAATTTAAATCCCATTCACTTAATGAAAGCAAATGTTAAATTCATGTGCAAAGACAAAAGCTTTTCAACTCCTAAGAGTATCTGGCCATCAACTTTGTAATATTTTCTCATCAAATGTGTAGGTATTACTTATTAATAATAATAACAGTATCTGATCGTACCTGTGTTTATTTTGAGAGATTCCTCTGGTGAAGGATGAAGATCAGGGCTGGGGCACGACAGTTCCGACGTCTTCGGTGGCTCCATGCTCTGGGTCAGACTGCAGGGATCAGAGGGTGTGCAGAGAGGGCCAGAGTGAGCCAGGATCAGAAGGGCAGACCTCAGTGTTGCCACAGCAGACAGGATGCTTGCTCTGAGTATAATGTGTAAACTACCTTTTCCCCTTAAGAAAATAAAAAGCAATGTAACTTATCGCCTAGAGATTAAATTTGTTAGTCATCTACATATAATGAACACTTGTTTATTTTTTAAGTTATACTTTAAAGTTATATTAATCGTAATTTCTCCTGTCTTGTATTTTTCAAATACAATGAATAAAGCATGAAGACTGAAACATTTTATGTAAATAAATGATATATTTAAATAAAGTTGTAGCAGACAATAATGATTAGAAGTATTTTTGTGGTTTTAAATATCCATGGCCATTTTGAATAATGCAAAAAATATTAGAACGTATCCTATAGGAGATGAAAAAATCATACACCCTGTGCCCTCAATATAACTACTGTTAACATAATTATTTGTAACTTTTATTAATTGCTCAAGTGATCAATGAATGTTTTCTTTGGAAAAGTAAAAGAAACAATTTACCTATCAACAAATTAGATGATGAAATAAATTATAATGGGTTCTTAAAATAAAATATGTATATAGTCACTAAATATATATATATTTAAGTCATATATATAGTCATTAAATATAGAGGAGGGAGTTCTGCAAGTGATATGGATAATTTTCCATAATGCATTAAGTGGGTAAAAGGTACAAGTTACTGAATAATATAATTTCATATTATATTTGTAGAAAAAGTGTGGTTATGCATGTAGTTGTAATACAGTATGCACTGAAGCTATGGTATGCACTGAATCTGATATTTTAAGACTTCAGTGTCATATTATTTAAGTGACTAATGGTAAATTTTCATTTTACATGTAGTTTTCTATTCTGTATAACTATTTTTAGTAGCCATAATTTATAAAGTGTATATACAGAAATTTCTATCTTCCTTTTAATGTGTGCTCTGAGATATACACACCACAGTGACCACAGGACCCCTGCCCCCACCTTTGATCGATAGAAATAAACTCTGATAGAATAGGAATAAACTTCAAAGTAAAAGTATGTAATTTCACTGAGAAACCATAGCGTGTTCTTGGGTATCCTATTGTTTCGGAAGAGGGTAAAGATATTGGTCAGTTTCAGACAATGGCAATTTTAGTCCATAGGCATTAAATATAGTGTAACTATTAAAGGGTGGGAAGTAAAATTTCAAAAATTTTAGAGACAAAACATAAATTAAGAAAAATAAATCCAAAATAAGCACAAAAGGGTCGGCGGGGAACCCAAGAATAGGTATGACAAACAGAAAGCACAAATTATGATACTGTTAAAAAATAAAATACATCAACAGTAAGTGCTAACCCTCTAAATGCGCCAGTAAAGAAGTTAAAAATTATCACCTGGGTTTTTAAAAAAAAATTAAACATTGTATGGTACTTACCAAAGTAACATCTAATAGATAAGGTTATGCAATGACTGAAATAAAATATTAAAATATGTAGGGTAATGCAAATATATGAAATTAAAGCAATCATATGTCTTAATATCTGATGAAATACATTTTAATGTAAAATGTAATATTTAAGGTGAATTTCTTTATAATAATAAAAGTTTCAGTTCAACAGTAATATGCCAAAATTACTTTAAAATATAGTAAGGATAAGTGGTATATAGGTAGAGGGAGCAATAAACAAAACTGAATTATTTGAGGAAATTTTAACATGGCTCTGATACATCAAACAGACCCAAAAATCAAATGCTGAAGTCATTACCGTTTCCCTAGTGCTGATTTTGGAAATTTATTATTGTTCTTGGTGTTATTTGGCTTTTATCAAAGGTGTACTTTCCTTTCTTTTATCCTGATTAGTGTTAAACTTCATAAATTTGTGGGCTGATGTCTTATTATCACTAGAAAAGTCTTTGTTATTAACTTAACATAGAACACTCCTGCCCCTCATCTCTTCACTTCTCCTGAAATGCTTCCTTTAGGTATTTATAATAGTTCCTTTGTGTTTAATTTCTTTTTTAAAATTTACTTTTGTCTTTATGTGCTGTTTTTTTCAGAGAAGCTTCAGAAATATAATTTTTTATAGTGTCACTAACTTAATTACTTTATAAATGTCTTAATCATTGTTATTTTATTACGGTTGTCCCAATTTCCCCCCTTCACCTTTCTCCACCCAGCCCACCCCCCAACTCCCACAGTCCGTCCTCACAGTACGGCCCACGTCCGCAGGTCATTCATGCACGTTCTTAGAATAGTACATTCCCCTTCTTTTCCAAATGATCAATTCTCTCTTTATTTCTAAGTAGATGGTGAATGTATCCAATACTGTATCTTTTTATTGAATGCATTGGGGTTATATCAGTTAATAAAATTATGTAAGTTTTGGGGCACAATTCTGTAATACGTCACCTGTACATTGTATCGTGTGTTTAACAGCCCAAGTTGTTTCTTTCCATCACCATTTATTCTGCCTTGAACCTCTCCTACCTCCACCCATACCCTTTTCCCTCTGGAAATCATCATTTCGTTGTCTGTGTTTACTGTTTTTTTCTTAATCTATTTACCTTTTTCACCCAGCTTCCCAGCCCCCTCCCCTCTGACAGCAGCTGGTCTGTTCTCTGTATCTAGGAGTCTGTTTGAACTGCCTTATGACCCAGCGATTCTACTTCTGGGGCCTCAGGGTCTGTGCAGAAGTCACCCAGCCATGTAACATGAAAAACAGAGACATTTATTGGAGAAGATACAAGATACGAGAAACATTGTACATATACATAGGACAATGACACCTCAGTTCCCTTCAAAGTAGGCCCCTTGGGATCTCACACAGTTCTGCCAATTGTCATCAGCTGCCTCATTGTATGTGCCTGAATCTCATCAATGAACCAAAATCTCTTCCTTTTCAAAGGTGATTTTAGTTTTGGGAAAAGCCAAAAGTTGCAGGGTGCCAAATCTGGGCTGTAGGGGGCCTGAGTCACCTGGGTGATTTGATGTTTCACCAAAGAACTCTGCATGAGACGTGATGCCTGAGCAGGTGCATTGTGGTAATGAAGCCGCCAACCACCAGCTGCCCAGAACTAGGGCCTTCTGAATCATCCAAATAGTTTCTGTGGAGGAATGTTCAAGCTTAATGCAAAATTTGATGCAGATTTGTTATTCTACTTGTTCAGCCCTTTTGAATGCTATGGCCGCATAGTACACATTCTCACTCAACAGGTGTCTACCACTCCCCACTGACTAGTACAACAAGTCAGCATTGTTCACACATGCTCATTCCAGTCCTTGACTGCAAGGTTACATTGATGTTGTGCAAATCATTCTCATTATACTAGTGATGGCTGGACTTTTTCCAGACACACCTCACCTGCAACATTAATTAGAAACAATATATGCACTCCTATGTGTATTGCAGCATTATTTACAATAGGGAGGATAAGGAAGCAACCCAAGTGCCCATGAGTAGATGAATAGATAAAAAAAGCTGCAGTACATTTACACAGTGGAATACCACTTGGCCATAAAAAGAAAGAAAGCTTAACTTTCTCAGATGGTGTGGCTGGACCTGGAGAGCATTTTGCTATATAAAATAAGCCAGTCAGAGAGAGACAAATGCCGTATGATTGTACTTGTATATGAAATCTAGTGACCAAAATAAACTAACAAACAAAATATCTTTAGGTTTTTTTTAAACTTCTGTTCAGCACTATTTCAAATATATTTGGACATTTAAAGCAGTTTCTTGTTCTTGGTCAAATGCCCGACTCGAACCTCAGCAGGGCCCAGACCCTGCTCAGGCCAGTGCGGCCAATTTTGGCCAGTCAGGTGCTGCTCACAGTGGTGGGACTGCACAGCACCCTGAGCAAGGTTCAGCCTGAGCCAGGTTCTGTCCAGCAGCTTGTCCCACTGTAGGTCAAGGGCAGACACTGTGAGGAGAGGACTTAGTTATACATCTGACTGATGATACGGATCCATTTTTCTTGTATAATCTTGTTATATCTGAGGAAGATTTTCAGAGTTTAAAATTCCAGCAAGTTTTTTGGGTAGATTTCCTAGTTTTTCCACAAAAATGTATAGATCTCCTTCAGTAGGGTACTCAAGAACAAGTGAAAGAGATTCCAAGGTTTTTGCTACAGTTAGTTTCTCCAGTTGCTGTTTTGGATAACTCTGCTGCCCTTTTAAATGTGGTAGAAACAAATCCTTTCAAGCCTCACTAAAACTTTTACCTGGAAATAAAGAAGTTTACAGCAGGGCTGTTTGGAATGTAGCAAAGAAGAAAAATTATCACCAATGCAATCACTAGAGGAGTTATTAGGCCATCAAATTGCACACAAAAGACATTATCAGAAGAAATTCAAGAATTAGATAAGCAGCCCTGTCAATGAGCATTCTCAGGAAACTGACCCACGGGAAGGAAAAGACCTTGCAGGGCAGGTGCAGTAGCAACAGCAGCATAAGTAGCAGAAAAAAATATTTAGAAATCGTCCCTCAGCAAAACCTCCAGCAGTTGCAGAGCAGGTTGTTGAGTTAGAGGCAGCTAACAAAGACCTCACCGAAAGGAAATACAAAGGGGACCCCACCACCGGAGAACGGAGAGCAAGGCTGCCTGCAGTCAAAGAGGAACTCCAGCGAGGTAAGCAAGAAGTTCTGTCTTTGCAAAGAGAGAATTCCATTCTAGATGCCACATGCCACAAAAAGGAAAAATCTATTAATCAGCTTCAAACAAAAGTGGTTGTTTGAGAACAGGAAATCAAGAATAAGGGCCAACTTGTTTTAAGAACAAGAGAAGCATTTGACACAATCCAGGAACAAAAGGTGATTTTAGAAGAAAATGGTGAGAAAAATCAGGTACAACTAGGAAAACCTGAAAGTACCATAAGATCATTACCAGCAGAACTTCTTAAGGCAAATAAATTTTCACAAATTTACAAGGGGACCTGAACCCTGAGTAAGTTAAAACTGAAGAGTACAGTTACCATTCTGCAAGAGAATTTTTGGCTGAAAAGGAAGAAAAATTACAAAGTGAGGAACAGTCTCTAGAAATAAAGAGCAACACA